TGGTGCCACCCACATTCAAGGCAGGTCTTCCTCCCTTATTTAATCTCCTTTGAAAAGCTAAAAGTAGGTGCCATGGAGAGGGCTCAGTGGGTAAAGGGACTTGTCCCCAAGTGTGACAGCCAGACTTTGATCCCTAGGACTCTCACAGTGGAGAAAAAGAGCTGACTCACAATTTATTCTCTGACCCTCATAAGCATGCTATGGCACATCAGGAGGTGGAGGCAGGGGGATCAAAAATTCAAGCAATACATGGTGATTTTTGACACCAACCTGGGTTACATGATACTCTGCCTCAAAAAATGTCTTTAGTATGTATGGGGATAAAACTAAAAATGTTAAATAGGTGAACAAATTTACAAGAGTGAAGGCCCCACCAAATCTCAGCACACCTTTTGTAGAAACTGACAAGCTAAGTCTAAAATTTATATAGAAAGGCAAATAACTGAGATAACTGAACAATATTGACAAACAGGAACAGCTGAGGACTCACACTGACTGATTTTAAGACATAGAAAGCCAGCCAGGTGTGGTGGCACGCACCTTTAATTCCAGCACTTGGGAGGCAGAGGCAGGTGGATTTCTGTGAGTTTGACCAGCCTGGTCTACATAGTGAGTTCCAGGACAGCTGGGGCTACAAGGAGACCCTGTCTCAAAAAAAAAAAGATTTATTAAGACATAGAAAGCCACAGTGATCAAGACAGTATTAACGAGGTCGACATGGAAACCAGTGAGATGAAATAAGAATTCATAAATACATCATATAGTTTCTTAAAAAGTTGCAAAGGCAATTCAATAGAGAAAATAGTGTGTTTTCAATAAATGAATGCTGGGATGGTTAGATGTTTATATACCAAAAAGGAACCTTCAACCCATACTCACACCACACACAAAAATCAATTCAGAAAGGATGGTGGATCTAAATGTGAAACTGAAACTGATAAAACTGCTGGAAAACATAAAGAGGATCTGGAGAGATTGGGACCTTTGGGAACCATTGGTATGAATGTAAAATAGTGCTGCCTCCATGGAAAACTGTATGACAGTCACCTCAAAATTAACAGCAGAATTAGCATATGATCTAAGTCCACTTCTGGGCGAATGCCTACAATAACTGAAAGCAGGGCTGTGAAGAGACAGCTATAGAAATGTTATTCCCAATAGCCCACAAACAAAAGAAACCTATGCCCACTGACAGAGGAACTAGGTAAACAAACTGTGGTACAGCCATACAATGGAATGGTATTTGGCCTTAAAAAGGAAGGAAATTCTGATACATGCTACAACATAGATAAATCTTAAAGATGTCATGCTCAGTGAAAGAAGTCAGACACCAAAGACAAATATGGCTTGATTCTAGTCATAAAAGTGTAGCCAAATTCAAAGACACAGAAAGTAGATTGGTGGTTTTCAGGGCCAAGGGGAAGAAGGGAAAAATGAGTTATTTTATGGGTAGTTTACCAGTTTTTCAAGATGAAGAGGGTTATTCAAATCAGATGTGATATCCTGCACCTGTATTCCCTGCTGTTCTAGAGCTTGAGGCAGAAGGGTCACTTCAACACAGCAGTTTGAAACCCTCCTGGGCAACGCTGTAAGACTCTGTCTCGAGAAAAATAAAAAATAAATAATATTTTTAAGTTCTATGGGTAGATGATGGTGATGGGTACTCTGCAACATAAATGTACCTAATGTCACTGAGCTATACACTTAAACTAGTCAAAATTGTAAGTCTTATTATAAATGAATTATCATGCCTTTTAATTTTCTCTATTTTATGTTTGTTCTTTCCCTTACAATGTTGGGACCTCACTCACCAGAAATGGATGGTCCTTCCCAAGGTTAACTAATTCTTAGACATACAAAATGACTTATCTTCAATGTGCAATCCAAACAATCCAGAGACTTGGCTCTGAATCACCCAGCCCTCATTTTTAACAAATTATTATTCTCATTATTATTGTTGTTGTTATTACTTTGAAACAGTCTCACTATGTAGCATGGGCTGGTCTCAAACCAACTCCTTCAAGCTGTCCTTTGACCTCCAAGCATTCACCCTGGCACAAATGCACACACAGTACATAAATAAATAAATAAATAAATAAATGTGAAAAAATTTAAAAGCGGGGCCTAGGGGAAGATAATTAGGTCCTAGGACCTCTGCCCTCATAAATGGATTGATACTGTCTCGTAGAAATGGGTCAGATCTCCTAGGAGTGGATTATTTACCAGGAGAACAAGTTGTTGTTATTGTAAGAGCCATCCTGCCATTCCCACCTCTAGCTGCCTTCCGCAACCAGTCTTAGGCCAGTGAGAAGACTACGGCTCTGACTCAGAGACACTCTAATCCTCCTGGCACACACCCGCCTTCAATCCCAACAGGGAGTGGGCTCCCACCCACATCTGTGGAGAAACAAGGGAAAGAAGGTACATTTCTGATGTTTGGAAGAATTGTGAAACATGGGTACATAAAGATAAATAACAGGGATGGGGCTACAAAGCCAAAGAAGGGAACCCAGGGTGGAGGAAAATCACCCAACTCTGACCTGACTTCACCTGAGGCCACCTCGCCCCACCGGAGGCTGACATTGATAGCTGATCTCTAACATGAAGGCTGCTTTCTCCTTTTGCCACTCGCTCCACCCTCAAGATTTTTTCAACAAACTGTCCCTGCCCCTTCCCAGGGGTTCCAACTGGTCTACAGGCTGAGCACTTTTGGCATGTCCAACCTTCTGACATTCTATATGACATCATCATCTACAAAGTTCATGCTTCAGAACCATACTATCCAGTTACCGAAGGAAAAAAAATTATAAAAAGAAACTCGTAATACTTTCAATGTTTATGATTTTATGTTGGGCCAGATTCATAGCTATATTGGGACGCACACGGCCTTCAGGCAGCAGAGTGGGCACATCTGAAGGTCATCGGCTATCATGAGAAGTGTCTTTAAAAGCATGTTGTATATTGTCAGCCGGGCATGGTGGCGCACTCCTTTAATCCAGCACTCAGGAGGTAGAGGCAGGCGGATTTCTGTGAGTTCAAGGCCAGCCTGGTCTACATAGTGAGTTCCAGGACAGCTGGGGCTACAGGGAGACCCTGTCTCAAAAACACACACACAAAAAAAATAAGAGCATATTGTGTGGTCCGGAGGGATAGCTCAGTGGTTAAAAGCATTTGCTGCTCTTCTAGAGGACCCCTCACAAGTGCCTGTAACTCCAGCCCCAAGGGATCCCGTGTCCTCTGTTGGCCTCTGTGGGCAATTACATGAATCACTTGCTTTCTATTTAAATCCTACTTGCGACTTTCAACATGGGGCCAGTAGCGGATACTAATGTTAGTCTTCTGTCCATGAAAATTTACTATAATACAGCAGAGACTCTCCTATCAGCAGTGACCAGACCTCATGTCCTCAGCTTTATTGCTTTGAGATCTCAGAGTATATGTCAAAATCAGTTTTGAAGGACCCACACAGTATTGTAAGTAAACTATCCCAAATATATCTTGTAAAGCAGATGAAAATTCATCCACCTGACTCCACATGGTACAACAACAAACAACACTTTTTTTTTTAATTCTAGCTCCATAACGCCTAAAATGCCTTTTGGAAATTTCAGTGTTGTTTCCCAGAATTTAATTATAAGCATTGTGTTTATGGAAGATACTCAACTATCTCTGATTCCTCTTTTAAGCATTATTTATTTATCTATTTCTACCTATTTTGTGAGGGTGTGGTACATTTGCGGAGGTTAGAGGACAACTTTCAGGTGTCTCTTCTTTCCTTCCACTATGTAGGTCCCAGAGATCAACCTCAGATCATCAAGGTTTGGCAACAGGTCCCTTTACCCACTGAGCCATCTCACCAGCCCATACCTCTGATTCTTATATTAAGTTTTTCCTGTTGAAAAGGGGCTGCTGTTAGCCCACGAGGAGAAGTTACACAAATTAGAAAGAGGTACCTATTCCTCCAGGCAACACAGTCTTGGGAAAGGAACTGAGGCAAAATCTCAACACAGGTATGCCCTCTAGAACAGGCAACTCTGAGCACCGCTTGCTTGTGCAACCCCAGGAACTGGACTGTCTCATTGACTGGAAAACATTGACAGCACCTTCCAGACATCATATGTGGTGTTCGACATCGGACTCACGCTTTCATTGTTATCTAAGTCAGAGCAGAAGTCTTGAAACTTTGCTCCGACATCAAAGCATACAAAAAGCTCTGATAAGGAGCCAGAAGTGTTTTTGCCTCTTTATCTCTTAAAGCTCATGGGTTCCTCATTTGCCTACTTTAAGAAAGTCAGAGTCACAGTTAGAAAAACAACTCAAAGAGTATATTCTTGTTCATCCTTGCCATCTTGGCTTATTCACCTCAGCAAGCATATTCAATATTTCTGACTACACTGAGTAAATTCAGACTGTGGTTGTTAGTTCTACGAAAACCTTCCTCTAGATCTCACCCATTACCCTGGCCTGTCCGTTTTGGACTCAAGACAAAATCCCTCAACTACCTACATCACTTCCTTCCTGTGGGCCTACACCACTTCTACTCCATGGATTTGTTTGGAGGTGGAACCATCTTTCCAGCCAGGTCTGCCATTTTCTTAAACACCCGCAAGACAGTGTGCATCCCCCATGATGGTCTGCAGAAATTAGGATTCGGTAGGTCTGGAGAGAGGGCTGAAATTTTAAAAGAACACTAGATTATTCTAATTCACTCTAAAGTGTGACAACTAGTGCATTTACGGAAGCGACTCAAGGTTTCTTAGATTTGCCCTTTGCAGTGTAGAGAGGAGGGCATCATCACATCTCTGTCCAGAGCGGACGAGGGAGACCCAGTGGCGCCTCTTGCGGGCCCAAAGAAGCCAAGTCCTGGGAGCCGCCCTGAACCTCCCACTGCGACTGCGCACTTCGAGGCCGGAGGGGAGCCGCCCTCCACCCGGCTCTCTCGGACCGGAAACGGAAGTGAGGCTGCCCGGGCCACAGCCCTCCTTTCAACGCTGGGCCAGGCCGGAAGCGGAAGTTGCTCAGCGCTGGGGGAGTTACTGGGGAAGTGTCAGGTTACCTTCCCGCTTCTGGAGTTGAAGTTGTGGCCGGCGAAGCGGTCCGGCGGGGTTCCCAGTGCTCTCTGGCTCCGGCCCGAGAGGCGTGGTTCCGCGCCTTTGCGCGGCTCGGGGGTCTGGGTCCGTGCCCCGCAGCCAGGCGCCGTTCCCCGCCCCGTGTCCCCTTATCCCGGCCATGGGCAACACGAGCAGCGAGCGCGCCGCGCTGGAGCGCCAGGGCGGCCACAAGACGCCCCGCAGGGACAGCTCGGGGGGCACCAAAGACGGGGACAGGCCCAAGATCCTGATGGACAGCCCCGAAGACGCCGACCTCTTCCACTCGGAGGAGATCAAGGTGCGGAGAGTGGGGAAGCCGAGTCCCTTCCTGGTTCCCGCTACATCCCACTTGATGCCGGGAGGGAGGTGGCCCTTTCCGCGGTGCAGGGCTCTCAGTGCGGTCCAGGAACCGGAGCCTAATTACCGACTGGAGACTGGCACCCGGCGCTGCGTGTAGCATCATTAAGGAGAAAGCAGCTCTGGGACCGAGGTGCAGATTCTTAATTAAGAATGGAGCGGGCAGTAATTGAGCACCAGAGTCTGCTTTTCTCTTAGGTATAATTGATTTCAGGGCTCTCTGAGAAATCCTTTCTCACCCGCACGCAGACTGGGCGCTTTTTCTTTTTTTCAAAAGGTGGTTTGTTCGTTTTGGAGGTATACCAGAGCACATACCGAAGCTGAAAGGGAAGTTGAATGGCACATTGCCGTTGCCAGAGGTGTTAGGCTCTGACACTTTGGGTCCACCCTGATATTTTTTGTACAGCAAGCCTGAAAAAGTAATTCCACAGTAAGTGAAGTGTAAGTCTGAAAGAGGCAGCTAGCAGCTTTACCCTCTCTAGCTTTAAGGAACGATTTAGGTTTTAAGGAGACTAGAGCAAATATTTTTGCAAGTCAAACTGGAACTTCCTGCTTCAGCCACATTCTATTGACCACATAGATGTGGTCCTTGCTTCCAGCTGCAGGACCCAGTCCAAAAGCATTCAGTGATTCTGGAAAGAAGAACTAATTCTTTAAAGGAATAAACTAGATTTAGGAAGGATGAAGGGACTCTCTGACCAACATAGACTATGTTACCTCCGGGTTGCTTATTGCCTATTAATCATTGCTTAAACAGACTAATTGTCTGGCCTCTCATCCCCTTCCTCGGTAATTGGGCTAGGTGTTCACATTGTTTTTCTTAGATCTTAGTTTTGAGTCTAACTTTAAATTGCCTGCTTTTATTGGAGCTGTGTCCTGTGATTTGAACTTGTTTTCTGAACCTGCTGCATTCCTGGAGGTGTGTGCAGTGAACTTCAAAATCATGTTTCTCCACTGACTAACCTGAGGTCTTCCCCACCCCTAGAAGTCATTTTGGTCCCAAGGCTATAAGATGCCATAGGAAAAACCTACTTCCAGAAGTCTATGTTGTGCCCTGTGCAATGCACTAAATGTACTTGTTTTCTTTCTCAAAAAAAGTGTGTTGTTACTGTTGCAGAACTCCAAGAAATTCCAACCAAGCAGGTTATTTATACAGAATTTAAGTTCTGTCCCCTCTTACAGAGGTTGCTGAGTAGTAGCAGGTACACTGACCTTAGTGCTCCAGATACTTTTAAATAGTCATTACCCCAGTTCACCATTTTGGCTACAGTTAGTTATCCCACTAAAGCAATTTCAATCTGTTATTTAATCTATACATTGACAGCTGGTCTTTCAGATAAGATCAGATCAGTATCTGAAATGAAGGTGCTGGAACCCTCCAGGACTCGCTTTAGGGCTTTCTCCTCTCCTAGAAATACAGAGTCTTTGACTTATGACTGCAGAAAAATATAAACGCTCCCTGTTGAACTGTGTTTCACCTAGGTGGGACTGCATGTGTTTCTCATGAGCTAGATTGAACTGTGTTTCACCTAGGTGGGACTGCATGTGTTTCTCATGAGCTAGACTGAACTGTGTTTCACCTAGGTGGGACTGCATGTGTTTCTCATGAGCTAGATTGAACTGTGTTTCGCCTAGGTGGGACTGCATGTGTTTCTCATGAGCTAGATTGAACTGTGTTTCACCTAGGTGGGACTGCATGTGTTTCTCATGAGCTAGAATGCTGTGTTTACTCTGTATTTAGCTCACCAGATATTATTAATTCCATAAAGGGGCCAGTCTCTGCTTTATCTATCTGTTTCTCCTCTGTGCTTAGTCCAGACTTGGTGGATAGTTCTGCCCTTACAGTCCAAACTTGTCAGTTTTAACAGCTCTGGAATTGTCCCTAATAAATTTTCATGTACCCCAAAACCTTGTTTAATGGAGAAAGACATTATTAAACTAGTCTTGGAGTCATTGCACTTTTCTTCCAAGTAGGTATTCTAGCTTCCTCTAGAATTTTTATGTCAACCTCTAATAACAGCAGTAGCAGCTGTTAGTAAGCGCTCACTGTGTGTCAGACATTGTGCAGAATATTTTACATGGGATGCCGTGGACTTCACAGCACCCTCAGAAGGCATTGTTTTTATTCTCTCCATTTTGCAGGTGTGGGGTCAAGCACAAGTGGCTGTAAGTGGCAGTGGCTGCCTGTTTGAAATGAATTGTCAGTGTTAACAGTCCAGTGTAGGGAGCTCACTAATGGTTTCCTATCCCTGAATAAAGTGTTCTGCTTCTAGGCTCCAGAGAAGGAGGAATTCCTGGCCTGGCAGCATGACCTTGAAGTCAACGATAAAGCTCCTGCCCAGGCTCGACCAACTGTATTTCGATGGACAGGGGGTGGAAAGGAAGTTTACTTATCTGGGTCCTTCAACAACTGGAGTAAACTTCCCCTCACAAGAAGGTAATTGCCTGGATGTTCATTCACATCTTGTTTTAGCCTGTGGATGTAGTTTTTTGCAAAAAGATCTCTATGAGTGAATAACAAAAAGGATATTTTTGTAAGATAGATGCTGAATGAAAGAGTAATTTTGCTTAATAAGTTATAGACTAGAGCTCAAACCCAAGAAGTCACTGGTTATAGACACATCTTTTTTAGAAGAAAGCAACATCTTTCAGTAGAGAATGTTTCTGTGCCATGATTTTCCACTAGTCAGCTATACATTTCTTCTGAGGAGAAGAAATCTTCCTAGTGCAGTGGGGAAAGCTCTGGGCTGGGAATCTTAAGAGACATGGATTTGAGCCCACGCTGCCTGTACTAAATAGTCACTTCTGTGACCAGGTGACCTTCCAGGTTCTTTCCAACTTTAACTCTGTATATTTTGTTTGGAAGGTACATACTCTGCAGACATCATTCAAAAGGATATAGTAAGGCACTTTATTAAGAACCCTGGAGTAAACTTCTGTTTCACATTGTCCGCGAGGAAACACCTTCACTGGTGACCACTGTTGGTGACATGAAGGGAGAAACCAGTTCCCTGCTACGCCAACCTGACTGTTAGGGCAATGCCTGTGTTTCCAGGGTTCACAATGAAGAGGGAGGGGAACCACTGGGCCCAGTAGTCACAAGTCAGTTCAAGTCAGGCAAAGAAACAGCCAAATGGAAGGGGCTTCTGGGAATGTTTACAGGTTTCTTTAGAGAATGTTTGTGCATCCTATTATACTGATCCCTTCCCCAATCCAAGGCAGACTGACTCAGGGGAAGCTCGGCTTAGGTTTGTCTTTGTGGTCATTCTCCTTGGTGTCCAGGACTGCCAGGTGTATTTTGCTTGCACAGTTGAAAAGCACAGGTGTCCAATTGTTGACCTTTTAGTGTTGGGATTATAGATTCCTGTATCTGAGGGAAGTGAGTTTTCTGGAAACCTTGCCCGCTGCCTTTCTCGGTTGAGATCTCTATTGTGAATTGTCTAAATTGGTTGAACATGTTTGCTCTCCTTCAGCTGAGCTCTTGGTTGTGCATGGAACCATTTTGTTTCATTTTGTGACTGCGAGCTAAGAGGGCAGTGCCCCCCCCCCCCCCCAGCTGACATGCTGTCTCGTTCCTTCCTGCAGCCACAATAACTTTGTAGCCATTCTGGATCTACCTGAAGGAGAGCATCAGTACAAGTTCTTTGTAGACGGTCAGTGGACACACGATCCTTCTGAGGTACTTTTCCTCCTGCCTTCAGTCCTCGGGTACCTGCACAGCCAACACAAATCACCTTCCCTTATGGTTTGCTACTAGGTCCCTTTTCCCTGCTGGTAAAATTCCCTATGTGTGGCTCTGAGTTAGATAGCACAAGCTGTCAGACCGTTGGCATACTTGACAAAGAGTGGCTAGCCAGGCAGTGAGAGCTGCCAGCCAGGAATTCCAAGTCCTCTAAAGAAAAATTCTGTAGACCGTCCACATTATGATTTCTGCCTGTCTGTCTCTTCCCAGCCAATAGTAACCAGCCAGCTTGGCACAGTTAACAACATCATTCAAGTGAAGAAAACTGACTTTGAAGTATTTGATGCTTTAATGGTGGATTCCCAAAAGTGCTCCGATGTGTCTGGTATGAACACAGTTATTTTATACCACATGTGCAGGAGGGGTCTATGCAGCCTGGAGTGCTCTCATTTCTCTTGTCTCTCACTCCTGAGCAAAAGCTGCTCAATCAGGTGACCATTGTAGCTCTCTGGTCCACAGTACTCCATTCTTAACTCTGTCAGCTCTGGTTTTTTAAAGTTTCATTCCAAAGAAGCCATAGTCATCACCCATGTCTTGTTGGGTGTTGAGTAGATCCACTTGGCTGTGGAATCAGAACCAAAGCTTGACACCGTGCCAGGGGCAGGGCTGAAGAGGCCCTACGGGGCCAAGTTGGGTCAGTAATGAACAAACGCTGGGGAAGCTGCCAGCTCATTTCCCACTTGTGGTGTCTGGAGAATTGCAGGCTGACAGGTGATAAACGGACACCTCAGTAACCTTGGCTGTCACTTGTGCAGTCCATTAGCACCTTGTCAGACTCCCTGACCAGAGGAGAAAGTGGCTCCCTGTAGGAAATAGGCTGCGTAGCACAACTCTTCTGGAAACCTGCTCAATGCAGTCCTAGTTAACTTGCTTGTCTTCCAAGAGTCTTCTGATCACAGTGTTCAGTGAATTGCTTTCCATCGAAACCCCACAGGAAGAAACTACCTGGAACATGAGAGGGACAATTCAGGAGAAAGAACACATTGTAATCCAAGTGTCAATGCCAGTTCTTTCCCTTCTTGTGTGAGGGGCTGCTTCCTGGGTCCTGCAGGAGACAGGAACGCGATCCTCAGTCTGAGAGAGCAGAGTCACTTCAGTTTACAGAATTGAGTTTCCATCATCACCTGGCTGGGCCTGGAAGTTCTACTCCCAGGGTCTTATTGTTACCAGTTCCAAAATCACAGTTGTAAATTGACCACAGTGGGCTAGCTGTCAGGTCAAGATTGTTAAGCAGAACTTAGAAATCCAAAAATAGTGTTCTTTCTTTTGGATAGCTAACTTGTCTTTTAGATTATTTTTCCTTTTCAGATAGGTAAAAGATGGACCATGGAGGAAATATCCAAATAATCCTCCCACTTGCTGACGAATAGAATTTAATGTTGCACATCAAAGCCTTTAGTCAAGTCTCTGTTGTAGGTCTCCTGGAGACAGGAGTACACCCCTCACTGCTGACAAATCAACTTCAGGCTCTCTACACTTCTCATGTTTAGATACTCAAGTTTTCTTGCAATATCATGTATTTGTTCCTTATGGTTCAGTTTTCTCCACTTAATGCTTTTCTCAGTTTTCAGCTGGGGTGTGGTTAGATAATGTCAAGGGAACCTGGCCTAGGAAAATTGGCAGAGTCAGGGAACATCAAGTGGGATCTGGAGCAGCTTGGGGATCAGCTGACCAGAACTCATCCTGATGTTTGATAATGGCTCAGTACCTTCCATCCAGGCAGATGTCACTAATTAAGCTGTTTCTAGAAGCTTCTTAATATGTCTTTATAGTAAAGAAAATGAGATTAGAGTTTGGGAAGATCCTGATGGTGGTTGAGTCACTAGAAATTAGATTTTTATTTATTTTTTAAATATGCTAGTACCTAGTAAAACCTGTTTTATTCTGGCTGGTAGTGCTCATAACTTAGGCTGAGCCACATAATCCCTCCCCACATCAAGCCTTGAACTTTGTGGTGTTTGCCAGCCCAGCCTGAAATGAGAAACCTTATTCTGCTGACAAGAGTGATTAAGCAGTTAGAAATGGCCTCCTTGTTGGTCTAACCCAGACTCATGGCTTTGCCACAACTGTCTTTCACTGGGTATCTCAGTTTACTGTTGACATTTATTCTGGGCACCCAAATTCCAAAGGTTTTTTTTTTTTTTTCATTTCCTCTGCTCTTCATCTTTGGAGCATGAATGTCTTTGAAGAAAATATAAATCTGTATTGAGGAAACAAGAACAAAGCAAAGCAGACAATGATGCCATCACTTATATAAGACTCCTTCTAGAACTCTGGTCTTCAGAGTGTCCTATTACCATCTCCCAACAGAACTGTCCAGTTCCCCACCAGGACCCTACCATCAGGAGCCTTACATCTCCAAACCAGAAGAGCGGTTTAAAGCACCACCCATCCTCCCTCCACACCTGCTCCAGGTCATCCTGAACAAGGACACAGGGATCTCTGTGAGTATTTCTGCCCAGATCATCCTTTCTGCCCACTTCTTACAGAACAGCCAGCAAGCAAGTGCAGTGTCACCCATGAGTGGGAACTGTGTGGTCCTCCTCTGACCTGGAGACAGGCTGCTGAAGAAAGCTTCCAGAGTGGGTGTGGCATCAACCTAAGCCCCATCCCATTTCAACTTTCATGAGAAAAAAATTAACCATCCCTTTTTGGTCAGCTTGATATGGGAATTCATCCTCTGGCCCCCACATTTTAGAATCTAATTCTAATTACTAAGTTACTTTCAGAAACATCAGTCCTCCTGGATCAGAATTTGAGGTATCAGGACTGGAGAGTTGACTCAGTGGTTAAGAGTACTGACTACACTTGCAGAGGTCCCAGGTTTGATTCCCAGCACTCAAATGGTGGCTAACAACTGTCTATAACTCCAGTTCCAGGGACTCCCAAAGCCCTTTTCTGGCATCTAAGGGCATTGCATGACACAGGTGCACTTACACACATGCAGGCAATACACTCATACACATAAAATAAAAAATAATAAATATAAAATAATTTTTTTAAAAAATTTGAGGCATCTTAACTAACATACATTTCCTCTGGGAAATTGGTATATGACATGCAAAAATGAAGTATGGATCCTGGCCATTGAAGAACAGCCAACTATCCCATGTGGCTCATTTTCCATTCTCTTTAACCTAGTCCTATGTATAAGATACTGTCTTAGCTCATTTTTTGCTGCTAAAACAAAATACTCAAGATCACATCATTTATGAAGAAATTTATTAGGTTTCGGTCTGGCGGCTGGGAAGTCCACAAGCATGGCACCTGCATCTGGGAAGGGCTTTTGTGCCACATGGGCCCATGGTGGAAGGTGGAAAGGCAAAGGAGTACTGAACCCACTTTTCTAACAGTCCCCTAAGACGACTAGCCTGTTCTCGTGATACTTAAATTAATCCATGCTCCACTCTCATGACCTAATCACCAGCTAGGATCCATGCTGTCACTAGAGAGCAAGTTCCCAGTATGTGAACTTTGGAGGACACATTCAAACCACACAAGCTGCTAAAACAACCATGCCGGCCAACATTCTGCCGGAAGTAGCTTTCCCATGCTCTGCTGCTTTCAGATGTAGCTTATAGCACTCACACCTGGACCATCACGAGAATCTTAGAGTTTGTTACTCCATCTCAACAAGACTTACCTTTCTCGGCACCAGGTTTCCCTCTGTGCCAAGTGCACCAAGCACAGATGACAGTTGGGTTGGTCATTCCTACATAATTCAGGAAGAGGCTAGTGGTCAGGACCAGCATACCTCAGACCCCACTGCTGACTGCATTTCCAGCCCTACATTGGCAGCATCTCAAAAAGGCAGCAGGTGAACTGCAAGGACTTTAATCGCTCTTTTAAAGAGTGGCGTGAAACTGTTTCCTTTCACTCTCCTTTTACCAAAGTTCTAGGTTAGAGAACATCTGGTGCCCTCCTAAACTAAGGTAGTACACCATCACCCCCCATCCCCCACAAAGGAAGGCATGACTGGCCAACTTCCCTGATGAAGACAGCTTCTGAAGATAAGTCAAGAGCCTAGGAATATGAGCTTGGGACAGCCGGCACCAGGACCCCTGTCAAAGGCGGCCAAACTTTAGAAAAGCAAATGGTGTACTTTTATTGTGCCACAAGTCCAAGTGCTTCCCACGTGCTCTTATTTAAGCTTTATAATAAGAGAGGAGCGCACAGGGACATTCAGTGATATCGGGGCAGAAGCACAAACTGCTGTCTGAGAGATTGTGAGGAATGCACTGTTGGCACCTGTCCCTCTTGCATGTATTCCTCATGTCTAGCTGGTATTTTGTATCTTTTGACCAATAACTGCTATTCTACTTTCTCCGATTTACTCTTTTTTTTTTTTAAGTACTTTATTATTTTTATTTTATGTGTATGAGCTTAATTACCTGTATGTGTGTAAGTGCACCCTTGTCGTGCAATACCTGGAGAAGTCAGAAGAGGGAGTCAGATCCCCTAGAACTGGAGTTACAGATGGTTGTTAGCTGCCATGTGGGTGCTGGAAATCAAACCCAGGTTTCCTTCAAGGATAGCCAGTGCTCTCAACTGCTGAGTCATCTCTCCACCCTCCCCCTCCTTTTTTTTTAAAAAGAGTCTGCATATATCATATGGTTTTTGTCTTGCTGTGTCTGACTTCATTTAATGTCCACCATATTTATCCATTTTGTTACAAATGACAGGATTCACTTTTCCAGGTTGAACAGTATACCATTATCTCAGTCTCTTTTCCTGTGATACAACACTGACAAATGTGGTTAAGGGAGACAGGTCCAGTCCATATCAGGGAAGATGCAGCAGCAGGAGCTTGGGGGAACTGGTCACATGGCATCCATAATCAGGAACAGAAGGCAGTGAGAAGGCAGTCCCTTTCTCACTAACTGCACAGAGTAGATTTTAAGTGTTGTAACCACAAAAAATGATCAGTATATGAGGCAATGTATATGCTAATGAGTCATTGTAGCCATTCCACAGTGTTAGACATAGTCCAAATACTGTGTTGCATACACTAAATACAGTTTTTATCTGTAATTTTTTAAAAATTAATTTTTAAAAAGCTTCCTGAGAAGTTTAAATGCTGAGATCACCCAGCAAGTGGCCGAGCCAGCATTCCTGAGGGCAGTGAACACTAGCTCCTTATTCTGTCCCACAGCTACCCTGCTCAGCAGGGTCTCAATGGGAATTGTTGACAGTTGTCAGCCTCTGCGATATTAATCCTAGAGTGAGGACAGGTATAGCGCTGCAAGGATCCTAGCTGACTGCAGAGCGAGAACTAGGTCTTGGCTTTCTAGCTGTCCATCCACACCTTTTTTGACATACAAACATGTACATTGTGGGATTACAGCTTGTTTTGTCCCTGAAGAGATTTTCTCAAACCCAAATTTAGCCAATGCAGACCTTCTTAAGATGCAGCCTCTTCCAGGCATGGTGGCACACACCATTAAGCCAGCACTCAGGACACAAAGGTAGACAGACCTCAAAAGCTCTTAAGATGACTGTGCCTAGCTGTGGTGAAGGCCAGCCAACCTTTTCATGTGGAAAGACCTACTTACACACCTCCTCAGAGGGATTGGTTTCACCCCATCTCTTGGGCCAATTGAGGCCCTCAGGCAGCTGGAAGCTCTTGAGGAACTTCAGACCTAGGATTCCCAGAGTGTTGAGTGACATGAACATACCCTTCCCTTCAAACAGGGGCCATGAGGCACAGGCCCACCAAGGAAATAATCACCATAGACAGATCCCCACCCCCCTTTTTGAATTAGCATTTATAAAAGTTAAGAATGCATAATTGGAAAGAATCAAGATTTTTGGCTGCAGACAAGTAGAAAAGGTGGCAGCCCTAAGCGCTAGTGCCAGGTGTGCTCCAAGTGTCTCCTGTAGTTACCTGGTCCACTCAGTTCCTTTCCTAGCCTTGGATACCAGAGTTTAAAATGCACTTCTCAGGAGCATTTAGTATAGACATATCTTCTTGCATTCCCTGAAAGTGTTTTGAACTCGAACTCTGATCTTCCTGCCTCTTCCCTATAAGGGATGGGACTGTGGCCCTCTAAAGATCAGGGTAGAAACTTCACCCATACTAATGTATGCAACTGGCATGAGATATACAACTCTCTTCGCCTCACCTGTCATCTTGGACAAGCCCTTCCACAGCTTAGGAAGAAAGGTCAACATGGGAGCCTGTCTCCTCTCCTTGGGTACCCTATGCCATGAAATGGGAAGAATTGTCTTGGTTTCTGAATCTCAGATGCTCATGTATCCCTTTATTCCTTCACAGTGTGATCCAGCACTGCTCCCAGAGCCCAATCATGTCATGCTGAACCATCTTTATGCACTTTCTATCAAGGTAAAATGGCCTGCATGTCCTTATGGTAGTTTCTCAGCGTGCTTTGAGGGACCCTAGTGCCAAGATTGCCTGCAGGTGCTGACATACAGAGCAGCTTTCATGGCCAGACAGATTCTGGTTCAGGCTCCAAAGGTGGTCCAGGAGTTTGTGTTTTCCTTAAGCCCTGTGGTAATATTCATATTCTCTAAATCTGAGTCCCTTACTCAGTCCTGCCTTTGGTCATTTCCACCCTCTTCCTTAGGATGGAGTAATGGTGCTCAGTGCAACCCACCGGTACAAGAAAAAGTATGTCACCACCTTGCTGTACAAGCCCATATGAAGAGCTAGGAGCCAGCAGTGGGCTGCAGGGACAGCTGGCACTGCTGGGCTCCCCACGTGCATGCTTTCCTGCAGAGGAATGGACTATAAATTGTTCATTTCACACTTTCTAAGACATTTCATCCTTACCCAAGTCCTACTCGAAGGTTTGTCCAGGCACAGCAACTCTGGAAGAGCTTGAGTCCCTAAGTCCAAGAAAGATGTAAGGGAAAACTGGGACTCTGCAGCTCTGGAACAAGCATGCATGAGGACATGTGTACTTACAGACTCATCCCCTTAGCTGGTCAGGGACAATCTTAAGCCAAACCGGAATGCTAACACTTGCTAGTAAAACTGGGAAGCAGGGACTGAAGCCACACAAAATTTCTCATTTGCATCTAAGGTCACTGGCTTGTCTCTGCTGAAGCCTCACTGTGGAACTACGCAATACCAGTCCTTCCAAAGCAATAGATGCCTCCCCTTCTCTGCTTCAGAGAGGTGCAATTTCTATGGAAATTAAAAGCTGTCTGATTTCCAGATGAAGTTTTGCAATTGTTGCCTACACTGTGTGCACTAAGTACTTTCTTAAAACCAGAGACACTGGCTGTCCAACCCTAAGGCACTTAAGTCACCAGGACTAGAATAGAGATCATGTGACTATGCTCAGCAATAATTGTTCTCAGAACAGACTTCAACTCTCTGAGACCCACTGCCGTATTCTCCATTAAGCTGGACGATCCTGAGGACTGACCACCGTTTGTTAGAAGGTTGTCCGCTCCTCATTTTAATTGTAATGGGGTAACAGTTACCATGACAGCTTTATAACAGCTCCCTTCCTCCTTTTGGTTCCAATGTGTGCTACTCAGCTAGGGATCTGTGCCCTAGTAAGCAAAGAATGTCACAGCAGCTGCTGTTGCTTGCTCTGAAAGGAACTTAGAACCTGGCCGCAGCCTGCTGGATTCCCATGGGAAGGTGTCCTTTGGATCAGTGTAGATGAAAACCTCTTTACACTCAGCTTGGTTTCCTTGAGGATACCACAGATGTGCCTGTTGATACAGGTTCCTGTCACCTAGTCGGTGGAAGTTACCATATACCTTTTGTTCTTGCTAGAGAGGCAGAAGCAAGCTCACTGGTGTCCAGTATTGATTTGGTAAGCCTGCGTTCGGGTACCTTTTTTTGTTACTATTTTCAAAACAACGAATTGCTGTCACCTTGATGTATAAGTTTCAATAAAGCTTTGTAAAAATAACTGGGCATGCATGTGAAGCTTTGTCTCTATTCAGTTGTACAGAAGCAATTAGAACTTATTTCCAGGTTGACTCAGTGCCATCTTGTAGCTCTCTAGAGGTGTGGGCCAGACAACTACAGCTTCCCCACCCATGACTCATACCTGATACGGGCCTCTAAGAATGAACTAGAATGAACCCCACTGAACTGCTTGCTACCATAGAGAAGCTTCCTGGCTTGGGCAGGAGGGCAGCATCAAGAGGCCAGTGCTTTTGGTCTCCTACTCTTAAATGAGCCCTACAGGGAAGTTCAGCAGGACACACAACATTTTTTTGAGTTGGAGCTGTTCTGTCCTCCTCTCTAGAGCATGGAAGGTTAGGTTAAGTCTTTTGTTCATGGACATCAGACAACATTGTCAATAAGTTTAGCAGAAAAGGGAAGTTCTGGATCTCCTGGTCCATGGAGGTAGACAGTAGCCCAGAAAGTGCTCCAGGCTGGTAATTAACATCACCCTAAAAACCCGAATGGTGGGAATCTTAGAGATGAGAAAATCAAGTATCAGGTAAGTTTTAAAATAGTATTTAAAGCATAGCTCAAAAATATAAAAGATGGATGTTCAAATACCAGAAACTTGCTGAGGGAGGGTGCTGTTGGGGTGGACCCAGCTCTGGGTTCCACAGCTATTGTATGGTACCCACACCTGCAAAGCTACATGAATAAGCACAGCACTGCTAACCTTTCTGAAATAGAGAATGGAGAATCTGATTGCCTATTGGAAGTGACCCAAGCTACCGAGCCCCGAATGTAAATTTGCTCTGACTGGGAGATGGCTGAGCTGGTTAAGAGCACTTGGTAAAATCACATAGAAGTGGTATGTGCTTGTAACCCCAGAGGTAGAGTGCAGAGAGACAAGCAGATCCTAGGAGCTCACTGGCTAGCCAGCCTAGTTGAAACATGGGGTTGAGGTTGAGCAAGGAAAAAGTGGAGAGAGTAACAGAGGACACCAGACGTCCTTTGACCTCCACATATACCTTAAAAATAACAGTGAATTAGTACTACTCACAAGGGACTGACACAGCCAGCTGAAAGTGCAATGTAATAACTAGTTCAGAGATAGTCTCTCTCTGAGAGTACCAGCCCTGGGACCATGGACAACTACTCCTAGAGGAGATAACTTATATATTAAAGTGGCAGACAGCAGGTCCACCCTCAGAACATAAGTGCTGACAGTTTTCCGTATGTATCTTTTAAAGATGTCTTTCTCTAAAAAGAGCAAAAGGAAGTCCATTATGGTCCCAGAGACCCCACTGGAGATTACTTCAAAGAAATGGAAAAGGAGAGGCTACTTTGCCCAGTCCAGAGAACCACAGCCACCTGTCCAATTGTGCCCAGGTCATGCCTGCCCTCATTAGCATTCTCTATAGGTAAAGACTGGTTACATGGTTAAAGCTTAACTCAGATTGCTTTTTAGTGAAGATATATTTCCCCCTCTGGAAATTTATATACAAATGACTTTATAGAGCCAAAGATAAGACCTGAAAATTATTAAAATGTAACAGTATTGCCAATCAATACAGTGGTCCTTCAATATCTTCAAGTGATTGGTTCCAGATCCCCCTCCTTGAATATGAAAATCTCCAGATGTTTCAACTCATATAAAATGGCATAGTATTTACATATAAGCTCTACACATCTTCCTATATGCTTAATACAGTATAAATGTTTATATAAATAGTTAAGCTGTATTATTTAGGGAATAATAAAGTACAGGTTTTTAAAAAATATTTTTTGTGTGTATAAGTTTATTGCCTGCATGTATGTAAGTATACCCATCTCATACAATGCCCATAGAGGTCAGAAGGCTTCAGATAGCCTGGAATAGTTGTTAGCCACCAAGTGGGTGCTGAGAATTGAACCTGGGTCTTTAAAAGAGTAGTCAGCACTCTTAACCACTGAGCCATCATTCCAGCCCCAAAGTACAGATTCTTAGTATTTTAAGTTTGTAATGGGTTGAATAGATACAGAACCCAAGGAACTTGTAGATGGGGAGGGCTGACTAGAATTGTTAGCTTTCATCACTAGGACAATACCTGAGGAAATTTTGTGGGTTTTTTGTGGTTTGGGGTTTTTGTTTTTTGTTTTGTCCTTTGGAGACAGGGTCTCCCTGTAGCCCCAGTTGGCCCAGAACTCAGAATTGAGACCAGGCTGGCCTCAGTCTCATAGAGCTCTGCCCACCTCCTGAATGTTGGAATTACAGCTGTGTACCACCACACCCACCCAGCAGAAGATTTTTGACTTACAGTTTCAGAGCTTTCAGTCCACAGTTGCCTGGCTCCATTGTTTCTGTGCTGTGATGAGACAGAAGCTTCAGACATGGTGCAGCAAAGTTGCACATCTCGTGCAGCCAGGAAGTAATGAAAAGGGGCCAGGGCTGAGAGAAACCCTTCAAAGGTAACCTACTTCAATAGTCTATTCAGAAACTGAGTTCATCCTGGGGCTGGAGAGATGGCTCAGCAGTTAAGAGCATTGGCTGTGCTTACAGAGGAGCTGGGTTCAATCCCCAGCACCCACATGATGGCTCCTAACCATCCCTAACTCCAGTTCCAGGGACCCTGAGGCTCTCTTCTGACCTCTGAGCATTACCTGACATGGGTACACTTATGTACTTGCAGACAACACACTCACACACATAAAATAATTTTCTTAAAAATTGAGTCCATCAGTGCAATAAACAGTTGAACTGATCATGTCTGGAAACACCCTCAGACACACCCAGAAGTGTATTTTACCAACCTCTAGGCAATCAAGATGAACAATCACAATAACCATTTATGAAAATATTGAAGCCAAAGGTGAAATGGACCCCAGGCAAGCCTATTTCCTTCCCCTGATGGATGTAAAAAAGTTGGCAATGCTCCAAGAGCAGCTGACCTGCCTGACATTGCCATTTTTGAGTCCCCAACTATCCTTTCTTCCAGAGTGGACACTGGATACAGGTCAGGGATGCCAATCCAGTTGAGTTGCTGGCTTACCTGTGTAACCTTAGGCAAATCATGTGCATTTTAGTAATTTCTTCTCATTGAAAAATGAGTGATGGGACTAAGGGTAGATGGTGCCTGGTACTCCCTTTACCTCACACTGGGAGCCACAGATTTCTACACCTTGAATGGGATGTGGCCACAAACAGGAAGTCAAGGCACCAGACAAGAAACAGTACCACTGCAGTATTAGCTCATTAGGAAATCTCAGATACCAAAGGTCAAGACTGAAAACTCAGACCACAAAGTGACAGGCTGTATGGCTGAGGCCAGAAACTCGGACATTCTTGAGAAAAACATTTTTAATTCAGTTCCTTCTGTATGAGCACAACTAAACATCCAGGCATGCGTTCAGTTCTGATACTTGGTCTATAGCTGTGGTTTGACTACATCAGGTGTTGGCAATGTGGGCATTAAGAGGTGCTACCTTTAAGAGGTGATGAAGGCCCCTTCTTAACCCTCATAGGAGATGAAAGCCCTTATAAATGCAGCTTCATGAAGCTTTTGGCTAGCTTACCCTTGTGTCTTCCTCTATCTGAGGACACAGCCTTCTGCCCCTGTGAAGAGCTCAGCCAATGATGTGTCTATCATTTTGGAAGTGACAACAGCCCTCACCAGATAACCATACCCACAGCACCTTATCTCAAGACTTCCTACTCTCCAGAGCTTTTAGAAATTTTATAAATTACCCAATCCTAGGTATTTATAATAGCAGCACTACAAAAAACCTTCACCGGTATTTGCAGATGGTTTGAATGATTTGATGAAGACCCAAGTCTGATCAATCGTGGAGTCATGCTGTTTCCAAGGTGGCCCTGACAGTTCCCTTACCAGCAGATTTGTGGAGAACGAAACTTGAGCCTCCTGTCTTCAGAAGAAAACGAGGAAGTTGTAAACATGACTGCATTTCTAAAACCCAAGTCATATTATAAAAACCATCCACAGTGCAGGGCTCAGCTAGTCTCCAGGGTGCACATGGCTCCACCTGCAGGATTGGCCCCCACATTTTCCCCCTCCATACAACCATGGAGCCTTTGCCTGGATAAATAGGCCAAACTTTACTTTTACCCACCCCCACCCTAAAGTGAATTCGCCTATCCCTTCAGGAAACGCCACAACCTGGGAGAACGGGGCAGTTGCAGGTGTACACCCTGGGTCATTTCCTTTTTCCTATTTTATGGCTATTCTAAAAGTGCCTAAGTAGTGTATAGTGGCAAAGTCATTTTCAAAGTCCTTTCCTCCATCTCTAATGACACCTTCAGGGCAAAAAGCACTCCGTTAATCATTGATAGACTCAAGGGAAAACAGAGATCACTGCTATCTGTATTTCTGTTCTCCCCCTCTTCAGCTTCAGGGAACTAAAGCTTCAACATGTGATTAGGCATTTTCTTTTGCTTACATGGTCAGAGCTACAATCCTCATGCTTCAGACAGTATAAGCAGCATTTAAGCCATCCAGAAAGAAAGCTGACCAGAATAGCCTCTGACTGGAACCAGAACCGGTCAAAATGTCTAGGTCTTGGCACTACTGGCATTTCAAGCTTTATCATTCTTTGTGGTTGGGGCAGGGCTGTCTGCATTGCAAGGTGTGTTCAGAAGTGTCCCTGATCTCTGCCCATTGGATCCCAGCAGTACCCCCTCCCCCACTTGTGGTGACCAAAACTAACTGGAGACATTGCCAGCTAACTCCAGACATTGTCAAACATCCTGGGGGGGAAGGGAAGCACTCTGCCTGGTCTGAAAACCACTGAAGCAAGCCACTTTAACTGTGAGTGAAAGCTCAAGGGCCCTGGAGAACCAGCTTTATCACTTAGCCTAAGTCTGCATGAATGTTCTAAAACTGATCACATTCGTAAGATGTCTAGTTCTAAACAGACTAGTCATTTGGCCCTATTAAGCAGATCATCTCTTTTTGGCCCAAGTGCCCCAAAGTTTCAGTTATGAAACTTGGTATGCATTCAATGCTTTTAGTTTGGTGAAAATTAAGTTGTAAATGTAACATGAGACCTAATTTCATGCATAAAAAACAGAAGTGGCAGCAAAGCGTAACTGAATTTCATAGTTGAGGTGTTTCCTCAAGGTCCAAAGGACCTCATAGCACTTTCCTTTTGGGACCAAACCCTGTTTACTTAGCTTTTAAGGCAGTCCCTGGTTGCCAAGAATCCTTAGGCCAACAACTGAAATGGCTGGTATTTAATCGACATTTTTCTAATATTTGTTATATGGGGAAAAAAAGGTTCCAACATTTCATCTGGGAGCCTTTTTCATTCTTCTAATCACCAGGAGCAGAGGCGATCCTCAAAGTCAACTTTAACTATGGTCAGATTACTTTATTTTTAAATATTTTTAACAACCAAACATTAAAAGCAGCAAGAATCAAGGGGGTTGGGGGGAGGCACTTATCTGGATCAAGCTGGTTTATATAAGACATTAGGAAGTGGGCGACACAATTTGCCCTGCAGGCAGTAAATATCTAGTTAAACCGGAAGCATTCACATTTTCCTTTTCTGTTACTTTCATCTGCACTTCCTTCAGGTAGAAGTACATTATTAAATTCTCAGTGGCCTGGTCATAATGGGATGAGAAAAAAACTTGCGCTGACCTATTTTCCTGGTTAGCTGATTTATAGCTAATCTGTTCTACAGTAATCCTTTTCAAGTGGCCCACTTGACTGCTTAAGGTGCTTTCCAGTTCTCAGTCCTATAAAATGGCTTTAATACCAATTCATGGTTCATGGAAGCATTACCAAAACAGCAGTGTCAACACTTCTGGAACAGAGTGCCACCAAACTCTTAATTCAAAGAGCACGTGATTCTAAGGCTCCTCCGTGAACCCCATCCACAGTGCAGACAAGGCCTCCCCGCCCCCCGGCCCCGCCCGGGGAAGTTCCTATGCCATGAAGAGACTGCAGCAGCGATGCTGGCGATGGCTGTGGTCTCAGACAGGAAAAGATGATGTTACTGCACCAAAGGGAACATTTTTAGATCATTGCTTTATTTCACTATTGTTCAACAACAAAGTTCATTCCTCTCAAGGTGGATCTGGAATTGTTCCCATGTTCTCGTCCTTGTTCTGAATAAAAAAGGTAATGAAGAAAAAGCCTGTACTTTTGGAGACCTAGAATCTTACTGATGCTAATAAGCTTTTGACTGCAATTTTGTGTTTCGGTATTTCCTGCTGGCATCCCGGTGGCTACACAGAGCTCCCCACCCTCCAGCGGAGATGGCTGCCCACACCTACCACCGTTGAAACCAAAAGTAAGTGTTGAAAAAATGCACCTTTTACAATAAAAAAGTAGAAACCAATTCAATTTCCTTTTTTTGTTACGAATATAAAGTTTCTTGTAAATATGTACAGTCTTTTGAGCTAGTTCTATATAGCAGGAAGCATTTCACAGATGAGACACACAGTACACATTGTCAGGGCTCAAGATGCCCATTTCTCATGGAGGTCCTAAATGAAATGCCAAGACTGAAAGACCAGTTATCAGTGACTGTTTCAAATATTTTGGACCAAGAGACAAAAACTTCAGCAAACATTCATTCAGACCTGCCCTGGGGGACAGGGAAAGGGAACATGACCCCAAAGCCTCCAAGCAACACATAAAACACAACAGCAGGACAACTTGCCAGGGTGCTGTGACGTGGAAGTTCATGGGCAGTTCAAACGAGAAAGCACTTAGGTTAAGAGACGAGCAGGAAGGAGCCGGTATTTGGGCCAGGTTGCAATCTGGAAAGTGATATGAACTGTGGACACACGGGCTGAAAACACAGTCACGGTCACCTGCAATGGGAAGAGTCTACCTTTCACTCTCAGCCTACCTAGGATATGCCTTAGTTGTTGAGGCATGCCTAAGAGTTGTGGAGAATCCGAAGCAGGAGAGGCCTTATGGGAGATTAAAGGCAGAAGTAAGGCCGCTAGTTAGCTTGCCAACTGCAAAGCCTCTAGGCTGGTTCTATCCAGTTGCCAGGAATCCCACACTCTAAAAGAGGGTGGAGAGAAACTGGGTGAGCCGCACTGCACCTAAGGGGGACTCACCAGCCCTGCAGAGCTGAAGAGTTGAGCTGCGGCTTCTCTCTCCAATGTCCTGGTCTTAGGTCCAGCCCTAGGGAAAGGCTCATTTGGGAAATCACAGTTTCGTGGGGTAGAACCGTGCTGGGTTTGATGTGAACACAGTCATCCTCCAGGAAGTGGGCGGGGAACAGGAAGGTGGGAGGGGAAACTGAGGGAGAGGTGTGGTTTGCTGAAATCCTTCTCTGGTCATAAGGCTTGAGCGTTTTGTTTGTTTGTCCAGTGCTACAGACTGCAGCTTGTTGTGGCCACTTAGTTGACAAGTCATCAGAGGTCTCAATTCCGTGGGACTATGGGATGGTAGCAATATATTGGCAGAGCAACCCAGAGGGAAGAGGGGTCAGCCGGGTCAGGGGTCAGCACATGCAGTGATCCGCCATGCAGAGCTCCTTGGACGGGTCTCCTCCTCATTCTAGAGTAAGGAGCAACACACCGACCTTCAGGGATAGGAGGTGGGTGCCCCCGGTCCCTGGCCCAACCCCAAGACCTATGAATGCTGGGCTTAGAGCAAGTCTATTGCATGCTTTCCTGGCCAAAGCTACATGGAAAGCAAGGGAAACAGGCTGGGAGATGACACCAAGGGGTGGGGAAGGGAAGGAAAGCTCGGTGAGGTCCCTTGGCCCCAGTCACTGCCTCTGAGCTGAGGCCTAATGACCTCCGTACATTCTCAGCTGGTGGGAGGGGAAGTCGTCAAGGCCATAAAAGGCAATGAGAACAGTAAACATTTGGCTATGATGTCACCCTGGGTAGACAGGGCCATCTATGAGAATGGACTGGAACAAGAATGAAGCTATATGAACACGGGAGGGTCGCCAACCGACAGGGACTCTACGTTTCAGTGGCAAAGACCTGATGGTGTGAGCTAGCTAAAAATGACTACAACAGGAAATACATCACTATTCAAATCTATTAAGAACTCTGTTGTCTTAAAAAAAGAAAAAAAGGAAAAATAAATCAAAACCAAAGAAAAACCAACCAATCTTAGGATCTTAAAGTAGCTAAGTAGGATTCTAACCACAGTTAGTGTCCAGGTTGGTTTTCTTTGATGAACTGGTACAGGCTAGAGCTAGGTACAAAAGTCTATGAATGCTGTGAAAGAGTAACAAAGTGCAAGAGGATGACTGCAGGAAGGAGCCCGGGCAGGGGCACCAAGCGCTGGCAGCGCCAAAGAGCCTCGGCCACCCACACCCCCTAGAGAAGGGTGTCCGTGCCAAGGGAAGTCTGGGCCCAACAGTGCCAGAGCAGGCTGAGCAGACGGTGCCAAGGTCCCCTGCGGCGGAGATCCTTGGCGTGGTGTTTTCCTGCAGACTGAGATGAGGAATTGGTTCTTCTGGTTGAGACTTACACTGAAGACTGGTCCCAGACCTAAGAGTGAAATAAAGAGGAGGAGGGGTTTTAGCCAGTCAAAGCCAGGAACTCTGGGCTCACTGTGTAAGCCAAACAGGAATTTATGGTCCCTGCCCCGTTCAAGGGTTCAGACCCAGCCTTCAAGGCAAAGGGTTACGCAGGAAGCAAAAGGCAATGAAAAATCCTGCAGACTGAATTCCCATGGTTGTACACACACATAGACCCAGGCGGTTTTGATAGAAACACATCTGGGTGGCTTTTCCTTTCTTTACCAGAAAAGGTGCTGATAGTGCATTTCAGGTGGCATCAGTAAGTGAATGCCATCGGAAAGTCAGCCCCAGGGGATAGGAAGGTGCCACAGCTATCTAGAATGGGCTTAGGAAACTAGACAGTCCACCAAAGAAGATGGAGCACCAGGAGCCAGGTGTTTAGGGGAGACACCTACTTCAGCAGTTCCATCTACTACCTCAGGAGCTAACCTAAAACTTGCATAGGTGATACATGCCCTTGATTTCAGATTTTAAAAAGGTTCAAAATTCTTGGTTTTTGTATAGCCTCCCAGAAAAATATCAGCATATAAAATATGTGTATTTGCCTGTGTATTTGAAAATATATAGAATGTTTGTCATTTGCATTTACAATGGGAAACACACATACATATTTGCTTATACCCACAGAATGTCCCTAGAAACCACTAACGCTCATTTCTAGAGCAGCAAATATATCCTTTGATAGCTAATTTGTGGTATGTACACATACATACATCTTCCCTTTAATCACATTCTTCCTATAAGCGCTTACATCCCACAGGCCCGAGTCATAATGGAGTCCAGCTCCAGCTCCCCAAGGCACTCTTCTGGCCTCAGTTGTGGGGGCCTCAGGATGCTGCCTCACCTTATTAACCTGGGACAATGGGGTTCTCACAGCTCCTGCAGGCAGCCGGCCCCTGCTGCTGTCTTCAAACAGCCTCCCGGGAGACCGCTCCCTCCTTGTGCTCAGCATCCGGCCTGGGGACTTCTCACGCTCCAGAGGGCGGCCAGGAGACTTGTCCCTACGCAGCTCTGTCCGGCCCTCACGGTCACGGTAGCGGTGGGGTGTGCTTGGCTCTCGAGGGTGGCTGGGGCCTTCTGGTGGTGCCGGGCTGGAGGCCACACGTTTGGTGATGTGCTCGTTGTATGTTGGTGGGCCTCTTTTGTTGGGGCTGCTGGCCAGAAGAAAGGGAGACAGGGAGCTGAGAAGTCACAGTCCCAGTAGCACAACTTCCTTTCCTTCTAGGCATCTAAGCGGGCTCCTCCCCATCGCTGTTTTGTTTGTTGGGTGGGTTAGTTGGTTTTTTGGAGACTGGGTTTCACTATGTAGGTTAGGCTAGCCTAGAACTCACTATGAAGTACAGGCTTGCTTCAGACCTGTGATCCTCCTGAATCTGCCTCACTAGGGCTAGGATTAAAGGTATAACCATCGTTCATCATTGTTTATTAGAAAAAGATTAGACCTGAGATCATGTTTATTTTAGCAGTGAAGACAGAGATAAAAGAAACCCAAACTTCCAAGTGCAGGTGCTGGCTTTAACTTGCTATATACCCACAGTATTCCAAGGCTTCGGCTAAGCTTTCTATGCATCACGTCACTGTCTCATTATATGGCAACAAGGAATGAGCTAAACACACTCTAAGCAAGCAAAACACTCACTCTATAGGAAAGAACATGGAGATGGAGAGATTAGGCAACTCTTGAGCTGGTGAGTACCAGAGGGTCCTAATAGGACCCAGGCAAGCTAAGTCTGGTGTCATGATCTCTGAACACAATCATACCAACCTAATTTTCCAGAAGTCTGTTATGGTCTGAGTCTGCCACAGTCAGAAATCAGAGGTCCATCAAGGCCTTTAGGAATAGTTTTGAGAAAGCCACTGTCGGCTGCCAGATCTGTCACCTCTCCCTGCAGGTGGTTTTCCAAGAGCCTTTGTGACACCTGAAATGGGTGCTTGGAAAGCTGATGGTTCCCAGTCGTTCTGGGATTTGGGATTTCCCACTTTATTACTGGTTATGGTAATAAGCCAACCTACAGGTGTAGGGATGACAGGTGGTAAACTGAAGAAACCAAGTGGGGCAGACAATAACCATTCAGTGGTACTAAGAATTGAAGCCAAGGACTTGTGCATACTAGGCAAGCTTTGAGCTAAACCCTGCCATCCAGCCCTACTAGGACATTTCAGTCGGACCAACCCAACCCTCCACCCTGTCCTGCCTAGATATTTCAAAAGCAGACTTTACCAGAACAGCTGCCTTAACTACCTCTCAGAAGAAGGCAGAGCTTACAACATGTCAGTCAGCAGAGATCACTTCAGAAGTGGTCAACTCAGTCGGGCATGGTGTCACGTGCCTTTAATCCCAGCACTCAGGAGGCAGAGGCAGGCTGACCTCTGTGAGTTCAAGGCTAGCCTGGTCTAAATAGTGATTCCAGGCTAGCCTGAGGGAGATCCTGACTCAAAAAGACCAGGGGAAAAAAAAAAAAAGAATTGGTCAGCTGACCGTGCTTTCCCATTCAGCACTAACAATGGGGATTCAGACAAATTTCTGGAAGCCAGCACCACTTCATGTTTAAGAAAACACTGATTTGTACATCCTAAAATTAAGGTTTATATGCACCTCTAGCTATAGAATTCAGAGAAGGAAGGTGCATTGGAAAACAATAAATCAAAGTGGGAGAAATAGATTAAGTCTTTTTGTAATGGAAGAGAAATTACAGAATGTGTCCACAGGGACCCAGCATAAGGCAAGCAGGGGGGTGCTCTGTGCCCAGGGAAGCGAAGTGGCTCAGGGAAGGCCATTCAGGACATCAGCTTAGATTAATGAGAGGGAAAAGAACACTCATCATTCGAGGCCAAGTGGGCAGTCTTCCATCTCCCCACCCACTAATGACCAATGATCTACCGCAGCCATTTTATGGTTTCTGAAAGAGTTATGTTTTCTGCTATGCTAAACAGACCAGGAAAATGGGGCCTGCAGTGAATCACACCCAGCCAAGCCAATCATAGACACTCTGACCTTCCCAATGCAGCCAGGAGCAAAAAAGGACCATTCTTCATGCAGAACACTGAGCACTGATTGCTGGCGTGAATGAGGCTTGCCTGGCACCATCAGGGAAGCAAACATGCTATTTCTGCCCCTGTTCATAGCCACTAGAGCCATTTTTGATAACAGAGTGAGCCGATTCCTTCTAGTAAAGCCATATAAAATCAAGAGCAAGGTGCAAGGCAATGGGGGGAAAGCCTAATTACAATACTTGGACTAGTTTCTGGCATGATACAGAAGCTCCTTAAAGAAGAAGCATTTCAGGGGTGCACACTGGCCTACTATGCTGTCACTCAGGAGGCGGGATCAAGCCAAGAGTTAGAAGCATTCTCTTACTGGCACTGATTTTCGGCAAGTTCCTGTGATTAACATCACACCAACAGACAGACAAACAGACAAAAAACAGGGAGGGGAGAACATTTCCAGAACCAAGGTGAAGCCACCAACAAGACATATCAAGGCAAGGTATAAAAGAGCACCTGGCTATTTGGCACTTCAGGGTTTCCAGGTGATTAAGCCACACCAACCAAGGCTAGGAGTGGGGATGGCAATGTGGTACAGCCCTTGGCTAATATACCAAGCTTGAAGCCCGTTCTCAGCACTGCCAGAAACACACACACACATACACACACTCATGCTGACCACAAATATTCCAAAACCAGCTTGCAACAATCCAAGCAGTATTTATCCAAGAAAACCAATCTCAGAACAGCAACCCTATGACATTCTAACTTGCCTTGTACCTATGGCACTCTTTTCAGATCTACAGTGGGATTGAAAGCAGCAGACCCCATATAGTCACTGTGAAAAACTGCAGGCTAATAACCACTAGAAAGTACAGATCAGGCTGAAGCTCCCCAAAAGCCCATCTCCAGAAAAGGGCCAATGCCTAACCTGTGTGGTTACTCCCTAAAAAGATCTGCCCTCTTAGAGCTTGTCTTCATTAGCCAGGACTCAGCTTGCTGGATAAGAAAAGCCCCTGTCAGGTAAAGAGCAACAGCCCTTGTTAAACATGGAAAGTGCCCAAGTAAGTCACAGAAGTAGAGGAAAATACTTTCTTTGGGGGGGTGATAAAATGTTCTAAAATTAGATTGTGGTGGAGATTGGACACATCTGTGAAAATGCTACAAACCACTAAATTACACACTTTGAAAGGGTAATTTTATGGTGTGCAAATTATCTTAGTAAAGAATGTGATATGACCTGGATATGGTTTAAAGGTTCACGTATGGAAATTTACTCTCCACTGAGAGATATTAAGGATTTATTTATTTTATGTGTATATGTATATGACTATGTAAGTTTATGTGCATCAGGAGCATGCAGGTATCTGCAGAGGCCAGAAGAGAGTGTCAGATCCCCTGGAACTGAAGTTACAAGCAGTTGTAAGCCACCTGATATAGGTGCTAGGAACCAAATTTTTATTTTTTTTTAATGTGTATGAGTGTATTGCCCGTATGCATGTAAGTGCACCCATGTCATGCAGTACCCAAGGAGGACAGAAGGTAGCGTCAGATCCCCTGGAACTGGAGTTACAGATGGTTGTTAACCACCATGTGGGTGCTGGGATTTGAACCTGGATCTTCCCCAAGAGCAGCCAGTACTCTTAACCATTGAGCCATCTTTCCAGCCTGTCCTTCTTCATAATGAACCCATCATCAGGCATTTCATCGGAGTACCAAAAGAACAGACTAATAGTGTTATTTTTAGAGCAGAATAGCAAACATGCACTTATGTACATATATATGCAGAAAAGATCTCCAAATAGAAACACAAACGATTATAAAATTGGCTCCTTCCTGGGTGGTGGTAGAGTGAGGGTAGTGAGAGAAATACAAGAACTAGAAGAGAAGATGGGTGCAAAGGTGCACACGTGTAGTCCAGCGATGTGAGAGGCTGAGGCAGGAGGATGACTTGAGCCAGGTTTCACGGCAGCCTGGCAACATAAGACAGTGTCTCTTTAAAAAGGAAAGAAAAGAAAACCCGAAGAGAAGCTTTGCACTAGTTTACTTCTTTTTATTTTTATCCTTTGAGTTCTACACCCTGTTGTTGGACTATCAACACAAAAATAAATGCAAATTTAAAAAGTGTAATTAAGAGGTCTCAGGTTCTATAGAACAGTGAGCTGGAAATTCCAGGCCCACTCTTAAGGCCACACACCCTGGACTTCCCCTGACAGGATTCCCTTCCTCCCTCAGCCCCAGCCCCATGCCACTCCCTTGCTTCATTTCTTTTGGGAAAGTCCTTCCTGGTCCCAAGTCCAAACTGCAGATCCTCCTGCAAGCTCTCACAGTGCTTTAAGTGACCATCAGGGCTGTGGTTCCAATCCTTCCTCTCTGGGCTGGAAGCATCATTGGGGAGTTACTACATCTGGCTTATTCACCACGTTCCTCCCTCTGCAAGCTCAATAGCTGGCATGGCAAAAATATTTGCCAAAGCAACAAAGCCTAACTTGTGTTCGATTCTCAACAGAACCTCTGAAAATGCCCGCTGATCATACATTCCCTTCCACTTTGACAAGTGAGCCCTTTATAATTCTTGTTGTGTCTACAACAGCCTTTGCTACTCTAGGACCAAAGGGAGAGCAGGGTTGTGCACTTGCACACGAAGTGAAAACAGAGAAACATTTACCCAGTTCAGCAAGGTTTCCTTGTGGCCCCAGGAAGAAGGAAAGGGGGCAGAGCTCGGTACCTGCGGGAGGTGGAGGGCACCCGGTGGTGGTCAGTGCCAGACTCCTTCACAAGGTTTCCTTTGCAGCATATGACCCTTAATTTATCCTGGTATGAAGAGGCCAGGTAAATTGCTCCCGAGGAAATTGCAGGGCCCAGGTAGCGTGGGTTCGGGATTTCCAAATATGCTCGGGCAGGGGTCCTGCAGGGTTCCAGAAGAGAGTGGAAATTCATTGCCGGTGACCCTATGACTGGATGGGTTAAGACAAAACATGCTCCTGCCCAGACACCTGCTCTTAAAGCATGGAGGAAAATGCTTACCCCAGTGAGGAACGTGCCTGGATCTCAATTACTTCAAGTGAGTTGAAGTGAGTCACAAACAGATAGGGTTCTCTGTAGGCTGCATGGCCACCATGGAAGTCAAGTATGAGGCAAAAAAAAAAAAAAAAACAAAAGAAGGAAAACCAAAATTGACTACAACAGGACCACTGATTCAATATTCACACATACAGGATGGATCCTCAAAGTGCTTCCCCTCAAAGTGCAACCATGCATGCTGGGGTTTATTCAATGCCACGTGGCTCACTCTAGCAGTAGATGGGGAATGACTCAAGCATACATCATAAGGGGCCATTTAAGTAAATTAATGTGTACCCATGGGATTCTGCCCAGCTCTAGGGACTGCATCATGAAATCCTGCAGCTCCCGACAAGGAAAATATCCAAAGTGCACAGCTCCACCCACAAGGCAAGCTCAGAAGGACATGCAAAGCATGCCCCCTCATGAGCAGGAGAGGTCTATTTTATGTGCTTACATTTGCATAATTACCTTGTATACCTATTTAAATTGCATTTTTAAAATTTTTATTTATTATTTTATTTATTATTGCATGTATTGCCTGCATGTGGGTAGGTGCACCCATATCATGAAATGCCCGTGGAGGTCAGAAGAGGCTATCTTTTTATTTTATGTGTATGCGTGTATTGCCTACATGTAGCTAAGTGCACCCCTGTTGTGCAATGCCAGCGGAGGACAGAAGAGGCTGTCGGATCCCCTGGAACTGGAGTTACGGACAGTTGTTAGCTGTCATGTGGATGCTAGGATTCGAACCCCGGTCTTCTGCAAGAACAACCAGTGTTCTTAACCGCTGAGCCATCTCTCCAGCCCCTAAATTGCACTTTTTAAAGATTGGGTACATAAATAATTAGGTAGTGCTGTCTTTTATTGTTTTGATAGGGTCTCATTACGTAGCCCTGGCTTCCTTAAACTCGAGTTCCTCTTGTGTGCATCACATAGAGCGACTGGTCTTAACACTCTATGTCTGGTCACAGTGCCACTAAAACTAGAGAGGACAAGACTGGCACTGTTCTCTCCCCCAAAGGGCAAAGGCTACCGGTGCTATCATTCCTGTGGCAAACCATTACTTTGGCATTCAATGTTCACTCACACCCAGGCTGAAGCCCTTGGATAGGCTGCATGCTTTGAACACAACTGACCCTGCTGACCAGCTTGAACCAGCAGAATGAAGTGCAAGTAAAAGGCCTTAGAGGCTCTGCTTTGATAGTCTTGGAAGAGCCCACGTAGAGGGGAGCCAAAGCCTCTAGCTTCGTAAACTGCCCACCTTGTTTCTGAGGCTGAGTTTTTACTTTCTAATTGACCCAGGATCCTGCTGACACCACCTGGAGTAGAACTGTGCAAACAAGCCACAGAACCACGAGCAGTGAGCAGCTGTTGTTTTAAGTCACTTCATTTTAGAATGGCTTATTATGTAACAAGAGATAAAACAGCCTCAAAGTGGTTTTCTTTACATTGAGAGAGAGAGAAAGAGAGAGAGAGAGAGTTAGATGAGAAATGAAGGAACAGGTTCTCTCCTCCTTCCATGTAGCACCTGGGGACTGAACTCAGGTTGTCAGGCTTGGCAGCAACCACCTCTACCCACTGAGCCACCTCTCCATCCTTCAAAGAGTATTCTGGGCATAATGGTCTTTCAGAACATTCACAAGCATGTGTGCACATATTTGCATACGTGTGTGTTTATTCTTTCACCCAGAAGCTTCATGTTTAAGGACTTATGATCAAAGGATCCTATTGGACAAATGTACAAAGATCAGTACGAGGATGTCTGCCTCAGTATTGTTTACATTTATAAAATGAATAGATACGACCTAATTATTATGCCTAGTTAGAATTAACTGGTTAAAATAACATATGCTCAGCTATGCCATGGGATACATGCAGCCTTTGAAAATTACTTAAATCCACAAGGAATATTCTCCTTTGAATCACGATATAGCAACAAAGATTTCACACGGCTAGACTGTGGCCTGGTGGATCTGACTTATGCAATCCTTCACTAAGCCTTAAAGTCTTTGCCACAAACATATCTTTAAGTAACTATTACACATGCCACTTGAAATCTAATAGAATCCACCAGCACCACAGAGAAGCCAAGAATTCCACACAATTCTTACCCAGGACACAAGCTACTGAAAACAGCAGAGGCTTCCCCACACACCCTACACCTGACATACCAAAGGCCAGAGGTAAGCGACTCCACTTGAGATCATCTGTGCGGCTACGTCTTCCATAAGAATCCACAAACACCCCAAATTCTGAAAGGCATCAAGAGCATGAGGGCATTAGCACCAGAGGCTACATACACTGCGATGAAGAATGGAGAACAGAGCCAAGGGACAACTGGCCAGCAGTAACTGGATTGTTCTAACCCAAGGGCCTCCACAGAACCAGCTTCTGGTTTTAATTAAGACAAAGACTTTAAGCCGGGCATGGTGGCACACACCTTTAATCCCAGCATTCAGGAGGCAGAGGCAGGCGGATCTCTGTGAGTTCAAGGTCAGCCTGGTCTACATAGTGAGTTCCAGGACAGCTGGGGCTACAGGGAAACCCTGTCTCAAAAAGACCAAAAAATAAAAAATGAAAAAAAAGATAAAGATTTTCTTAATTAAAAGTTTTCTGATTAAGTTTTATTCAAGAAAGAGGTTTCAATATAAGGAAGGAGTAAGGGGAAGAAGAGAGGGAGGGAGGAAGAGAAGAAGAGAGAGAGGAAAGAGGAGAGAGGAAAGAAGAGAGAAGAAGAGAGGAGAAGGAAGAAGAGATGGAAGAGAGAGGGAGGAGAGGGAAGAAGAGAGGGAGGAGAGAGGGAAGAAGGGAGAAAGGGGGAAGGAGAGAGGGAAACATCCAGACGATTTAAAAAATAAACTTGCAAGAAAATATCAAGATCAAAAGAAATAAGAATGACAAAAAAGGAAAGGTGCTGGAGAGATGCTCCGTGGTCAAGGGCCCTGGCTGCTCTTGCAGAGGACCCAGGTTCAGTTCCCAGCACCCACATGGCAGCTAACAACCATCTGTAGCTCCAATTCCAGGGAAATCCAACATTCTCTTCTGCCCTCTGTGGTCACTGCATGGACATGGTGCCCTTACATACTTGCAGGCAAAACACATAAAATTTATATTTTTTTTTAAAAAAAAAAAAAGAAGGTGAAGCC